TGAACAGTTTACCATCCACATCCGTCGTCAAATGTTTCGGTAAATGTTTTATTTTATTAAGAATACTATGACCAACCGGACAATGAATGCTGGAAACCTGGTCGTTTTTTGATGTTACGAAATTTTGCTACTCGCCAATCGCTGCTGCTGCTGCTGGGCTCATCGATCCTGAACTGCATATCTACATTTAGTAACTAATACCTCCTGTTCGATGTATGTGAGCAACTTCTTCAGAAGCCATTTGCGTGCTAGTTTGTTTTCTCATGGTAAATTTTGACTCGGCGTCTTCTCGAGCTGTTTTTGCATTTTGGCGTATGCGCTATTAGTTGATGCTGAAGTATTTCTTTTTACCTCAAAAAAAAAAAATCCCCCACTTATGTCAATACTGATGAATGAAATTGGAGGAGAGTCTAAGAGGAAATTTTTGGGAAAAATTCGGAAAAAAATGCTTTGGAACGTTGGAAAATTTTTGTGAGGCTTCGTCACACTTTTTCAGTAAACTTGAGGTTTTTTTTTTTGAAAAATTCTATATCTGTTGCAGCTCGAGATATGTTCATCCAGGTGCAGGAGACTCCAAATCCAGTAACGCTGAAGTTCCATCCGGGCAAGCCGATAATGGGCAAAGGGAAAGGAACACTTGATTTCAACACATTTTCATCCGCGAAAAGTAGTCCACTAGCCACGTAAGGACGGTTTTTTTTGGGAGAAGACTGGAGGGGGGATTTGTAAGCTTATAAAATAACCAGCTGTGATCATAGGCTCCATCTGATGTGTAACGACCGAACCCTTTGTGATTCGATCCTTTGTCTCGATGATAAATTGGTACTGGCCCATGCGATGGACTTAAAACTGCCATTATTTTGCTTCCAAACATTCTTCGAAGAGGGATCCATCGACAGCCTTGCTAGCGTTGCTTTTGGTAGTTGTTATCGTTATCTTTCAGGCAACATTGGGTACCTTCCTCTTACAGAAAATGCATTACGAAAAAGGTTTCGCCTTTTTTTGAGCCTTTTTTTAACACCTAAGATTTGTTTAAGTCGGCGCCCCACCTCTTATGACCGTCTTGTAAGCGATCACTTTTGCTGAGGAAAACTAATGTT